TAGATCGTGTGAGCGACGGTGTTAGTTTGACCCAGTGCCTTTTTAGGAAGGTCAAATGAATCTCGGAATTCATGCAGAAGGGTTATTAGCTGGTCCCGTTGATCCGGAGGAAGCTTGCTGTCGATGGAACGATTGAAGATATCCGAGGAGTAGTCATCCCGCATAAAAAGAGGAGTAACGGCGTTCAATTGAAGTTGCTGGCCAGGGTCGGGGGACTCAGTAGGCACAATGACGTTGTCATCAACAGGATGAACATAGCCCAGTGTTTCGTGAGCTCTTAAGGTGGGAGGGCATGAGGTAGGATTGCAAACGACAATTCTGGAAGTATCTTGGTGAGGTGGCAAAATGGCGTATGGCAGAGACGTACCGTGGCGGCGACTGAAAACGTCAGATGGGGAGAACACAACGGTAGAGCCGGACAATTCAGTGCGATTGACGGGGACAACGATGGCTCTAAGAAGAGGAGCATCAACGTCGGAAGCAACAAGAAGCTTGCCAAAGTGAGTGCGCTCATTGTCGGTAGATGGCGCATCTGAAAACACAGAAAATTTCACCTGCGCGCGAGCGCAGTCAATTACGGCGTGGTGGCATGACAAAAAATCCCATCTAAGTATCACGTCGTGGGAACAAGTGGTCAACACGAGAAACTCGTTGTGGTACAGGACGTCCTGAATGTTTACTCTTGCCGTACATGCTCAGACTGGTCGAATTGGTTGCGCACTCGCGGTATTCAGCAAAACGTCGGAAGGCATCGTCGTTACTTTTCGTATCGAACGGCAGAGTTTCTGACTCATCACAGATACGGCGGCACCCGTATCAACAAGCGCAAGAGTTCGTAGACCTTCAACAAACACTTCCAGAACGTTTGTAGGGGACGGGCGAGGACTTGTACAATGCGACGATTTCGCAGCTCGTGCCTCCGGAGCTGCGGCAGTCAGTTTTCCGTCTCTACAGGGTTCGGTCGGTGACGCAGAGGAGACGGAGAACGGTAGCGGCGCGGTGAGGACGAGCGACGTGGACCGAATGGTCGGTAGTCGGCAGCAGGGCGGTGGTCTAGTTCGGTTGATGACGGGTCGCGTTCCACTGATTGTCGATCGCATTGACGTGGCAGTTCTCGTTGCGCGTTGTACGGGGCCGGTAAAGAGTAGTCAGGGTACCTCGTAGGTGCAGCCGGGCCCGTTGCGAAGCGCCGGCGACAGAAGCGCACCACGTGACCTGGATATCCGCATGTGTAACAGATCGGGCGATTGTCAACTGTGCGCCAAGGGTTTCCGTTATAGTGCTGTTGTATTGCTGGAAATGGCGTCGTTGATACTCGTACAGGCTGGGAAGTCGGCCCAAGCGGATGTCGTGGCGGAGTAGCAGCAACAGCAGCGTAAGTCAATGGCGCGGTGACGGGTGCTGTCTGAGAGACGGACGGCAGTGCCTCAGAGACCTGCGCCTGTATTACCTGCCTGATGGCGGGCGCGAGACGCTCAGAAGAGGGTTCCGTTGCCGGTAGATACAACAGGCACAAAAGTTGTCGGGCTACCTCCTCGCGCACATATCGTTTGATTTCCGACATGATTGTGTTGTGGTCTCCACCAGAGGCTCAATGTCGCGAAAGTTTCATCGGTAGCCGCTGGCCGCCGTGTCATCGCCGTGTCATGACCTGTTGTTTGCGCAACTCCTCGAAGCTCTGGCAAAGAGTGGCGAGTTTGGACACGATACGTGGGCCCTTGGCCAGAAGCACCTGGAAGGCGTCGTCGTCTATCCCCTTCAAAATGTGTTTGATCTTGTCTGCCTCGATCATTGAAGGGTCAAGGCGCTTGCACAAGTCGAGCACATCCTCGATGTAGCTTGTGAAGCCTTCTCCCTGAAGCTGTGCGCGTCACCGTAGGCGCTGTTCGGCGCGAAGCTTGCGTACCTTGGGGCGACCAAATACGTCGGTAATGCGTAGCTTAAAGGCACCCCAAGTGGCGAATTCCGAGTGGTGGTTGTTAAACCAGAGACTCGCTACCTCTTTCAGGTAGAAGGGTACATATTGCAGCTTCCATGTGTCGTCCCACTTGTTGCTTGCGCCTACCTTTTCAAATGTCGACAGCCAATCTTCTACGTCTTGCTCATCAGTACCGTCGAAAAAAGGTGGATCGCGCAAGCGTAGCGCAGTAGGCACGATGACCATCGGAGGCTGGGTCGTACCTTGCTGGGTGTTTTCTTCAGCCATGTCTGAGATGGCAGGTAGTTTCCTGTTGCGGAGTTCCAGGTTGAGTTACCCCGCACCTCCACCACTCTGAAACAGGGTTTATTGGCGTAAGTAGTACTTGCACAGCAGGTCTACTGATGCGGAAAGCGGGCGGCAGCAACCGACGCAGGAAACGCAACGCTCGGGGGAACAGCTCGCGCTCGGCTCCTCTTGCTAAAGGTGTGACCCACTGCGGCACATAATCTTCTTCCTCTCTACACATGGAAGGTTATTTATTTAGTGCAGCCAGTTTGATTACTAGTGATTAATTGTAGGCAGTACGTGTGTCCTAATTGACATTGTTTTGCGAATGTCCTATCGTAGTGCATGTGTTCCCATGCATTTACTTTAATTTCTCAGTAAGTAGGACAGTGCTGTTGATAATATTGTCTTTTTAGACGTTGTCATACATTGAGCTTTCACTCTAACATAAATTGTTATTTGACTTTAGTGTTCCTTTAATTTAGGTCACCTATGCCATTACTTCAGGCTGTGTGTCAGAAAAGTTTAGCCTCGAAACTCATAAGTTCAGCAAAAAAAGTTTGTTTCATTATGAACTTCGTCAAGGTCTCAGTCTCTCCGGTGCCGCAATGTTGCACATACTTAAAGCATTCTAGTTTTGCTACATTTTCCATATCATCATCATCATCAGCCTGTTTACGTTGACTGCAGTACAAAGGCCTCTCCCGTGTTCCGCCAGTCAACTCGGTCCTGTGCTTGCTGCTGCCATTTTATACCTGCAATCTTCTTAATCTCATCTTCCCACCTAACTTTCTGTCTCCCCCTAACCCTCTTGCCTTCTCTGGGAATCCAGTTAGTTACCCTTAGAGACCAGCGGTCAACCTGTCTACATGCCCGGCCCATGTCCATTTCCACTTCTTGATTTCAACTATAATATTCTTAACCCCTGTTTGTTCTCTGATCCACTTTGCTCTCTTCTTGTCTCTTCTTGTCTCTTAAGGTTACACCTACCATTTTCCTTTCCATTGCTCGCTGCATCATCCTCTATTTAAGCTGAACCCTCTTTGTAAGTCTCCAGGTCTTTGCTCCGTAGCTAAGTACCAGCAAGATGCAGCAGTTATATGCCTTCCTCTTGAGGGATAGTGGCAATCTACCTGTCCTGATTTGAGAGTGCTTGCCAAATGTGCTCCACCCCATTCTTATTCGTCTAGTTACTTCAATCTCGTGTTTCGGCTCCACGGTTATTATCTGCTTAATAGACATAGTCTGTTACAACTTCTAGTGCACTACTACTTATCTCGAAGCGCTGTTTTCTTTCGAGGTTGTTGTACATTAATTTCGTTTTCTGCAGATTAACTTCAAGACCTATATTTCTGCTCGCCTTGTCTAACTCCATAATCATGAGTTGCAATTCGTCCCCTGAGTTACTCAGCAATGCAATGTCATTGGCGAAACACAGGTTACTAAGATACTCTCCATTAACTCTCACCCTAACTCTTCCCATTCTAGGCTTCTGAAAACCTCCTGTAAGCATGCGGTAAATAGCATTGAGGAGATTGCATCCCCCTGCCTTACACCTTTCTTGATTGGTATTTTGTTGCTTTCTTTATGAAGCACTATAGTAGCAGTTGATCCCCAGTATATTTCTTCCAGGATGTTTATATATGCTTCGTCGACGCCTTGATTCTGATTCCCCAATTTCTGCATGACTGCTGATATTTCTACTGAATCGAACGCCTTCTCGTAATCTATGAAGGCTATGTATAGTGGTTGGCTGTATTCTGAACATTTCTCTATTACCTTATCAATAGTATGAATTTGCATACATGTGCTTGCAAACATTTCACAAGCAATTTTAAAAAATAGCTGCTAGCAAAATGGGTGGCCAGTGTGGTAGAGAAGGCGAAAGAAAAATATTGAGAGCCTCCCTTGATACTGTTGTAACTTCTACAAAGTGGGCACTTTTATAGAATATGAAACAGAAGCTGGTATTATTGTGAATAAATGGCCAACGAAGAAAATACGTGTGTGATACATCGAAGCAATGCTCTAAACGTTGTAGGGGTTCTTCTCGTCTGGCCAAACAATGAAATGCAATGCTGCCCCAAAACTAGCAAAAACATTTATTAATAAAGGGGACAATCGGCAGTAAAGTTTACAGCTTCCCACGGTCACCATGCATGCCACTTGTTCACCACGCGAGCCCTGCAATCCATGCGCGCACACACCCTCTCGCTCTGTCACCAACTCCCCGCTATCCTGTCGGCTGGCACTTTTGTGGCTCATCTGTGGGACCTGCACAGCTCTGCTGCACAGCATGTGTTGATACCAAGGGCGGTTGGCAATGTGCACAAATCCCACAACATCAATAAGAACACATGATTCATTTACATGTACATGCTTTGGAGGTGCTGTGAAGGATGTAACTTTCTTTTAATCTTCAGGACTGGTAGAATTTGCTTATAAATTTGTATTTTCCTTTAACACCTGCTGTGGTATTGGCTAAGGTGTTGCACTGCTAAGCTCAAAAATGAGAGTTGAAGTTCTCGAGGTTTGACTCAATCAATTCAGTTATCTAAGTTTGACTGTATATGGCATTTTTGTGTGTATTGGAACATGCCTGAGTAGTGGGTACTTTCCACAAAGGTGCTGGCAATATAGAATCATTTTAGCACACAGATGTTGAAGCGAAGCAAATTCTATGCATTTGAATTTAGCCTTATGCTGGAAGTAGCATTTAGTTCAAAAGAACTATTTTCCTAATGTTGTTTTTTGTGTGTTTCTAACGCATTGTCGAATTTGTGATTATGTGCAGGTTTGCGCAGCGAACAGGTTTTTCTTACAAAAATATGCTGTTTTTTGATGATGAGATGCGAAACATCACTGATGTTTCTAAGCTTGGTACGTGGACTATTCTTATTTACTTGTCTTTATCGCTTGTTACAAGGAAATCTTAACAAATGCAGTTTGAAGTATTACTAATAAACAGAGAGCTAGCTAAGCCCCGCCGCGGTGGTCTAGTGGCTAAGGTACTCGGCTGCTGACCCGCAGGGCGCGGGTTCGAATCCCGGCTGCGGCGGCTGCATTTCCGATGGAGGCGGAAATGTTGTAGGCCCGTTTGCTCAGATTTGGGTGCACGTTAAAGAACCCCAGGTGGTCTAAATTTCCGGAGCCCTCCACTACGGCGTCTCTCATAATCATATGGTGGTTTTGGGACGTTAAATCCCACATATCAATCAATCAAATCAGAGAGCTAGCTAAATCCATAAATTTCTCTCTACATAGCTTGCTTTTGTGAAGCCACTCCTTATTGGTGACACCATTTATTTTTGCAAACAAAAACATTATTTAGGAACTAGAAAAAAGATGTCCACAGTACTTGTGCCCGTATGTATTTGACTAACTGTTGCATGTAGCGACTGTAAAATTGATTTGATTCCGACACAGCATACTATGCACACTCATGTTACTCAGTTATGCATGTTCATAAGTACAACTTTATTTTTTGTGGTGAAGTGAAGTACTTAGTGTTCACATTTCTTGTTATGAGTGTCACAGTGACTAACTTTGCTAGTCTTGCACCATTGCATCAACACAATTATAAAAATCAAAATAATTGTCACTTCTACCTAATTCCCCTTCCTTGCATTTAGATGCACAAGCACGTGGTCGCTGTGTAACAGAAGTGAGCTGCAGATTTGTTGAAGGCATAGTTTACAGTCATAATCAACTTAGCTGGAGTATACAGAGGGCAGCAGTTCTTTCCCTGTTGCACCTGCAAGTCTGCTTGTATCCAGTCAGCTTGAGCTTAATATTTTGTCTCAATCAATGGGGACTTCGTTGACATCTCATACAGTGAAGCTTATTGAGCAGAGCTACGGTACCTACCGTATTTTCTCACATGTAGCTTGCAACAACAAAAAATGCTAGAAAGGGAGAGGGAGTGTGTGTGCGGGTTATATGCGAAAAAAAAAAATGGTATGTTAGCGTCATAGATATATTTTTAAAACATATAAATTACAGAAAAGCTCAACTAAATTGTGAGTTAACCCTTTGCTGTCCCAAACTTTTATCCACTTTCAGGCTCTACTAGTCTGAAATTATTTTGGCAGTTTCTGGCACTGTGAAGACAAACATAAACTGTGGAAGAAAAACTCACAGGATATTTATTTTTGTTCCTGCATTCTGCACGCAACTTCTTTCGCAACATTTGGGCAGTATAAGATACCAATCAAAGCATTCTCCTGGGTGCAAGCTAGGGTTGTTACTGTAGGGTTTGCATAAAAACAGAGGTACTGTCTCCACTGCTGTCGTCTACATCACTCACTTCTGTGTAATCACTGTCATCTGTGTCTGGTGGAGGCATATAATTCTCTTCCTCATCAAAGTCGTCATCGCTTTTGCTAAAAGCACCACCAAAAAATGCATGCAGTGAAAACTTGACCATGCTCCACAGTGAACAGTGTCGGAGTGGGTCTGCTCTAGGCTCTTTGCTGAACATAGTGCTGCACCCTAGTGTAAAAAAAGTAAACCTCAACAAACTAAGCTCACTCATTCCTTAAGAGATGACACTTCATGTGTTTTAAAAATGCACGTGACTTGCAATGAGAGAACCGCGAAATTTAAACCACAAACACCGTTGTTGTTGGGCACTGCCCAACAACGGACCGCAAAGGGTTAAACAAGCCTTAGGTTTATGAGGACTTGGTAATGACTCGGAGCTTCCATCAATAATGCAAGAAAATTAAGGCGTTCTTATTTTGTCTGTCATGTCTGTATTTTGTCTGTCATTTCAAATTTTTAGAAAACTCGCACAGTTGAGCCGGTACCAGCAATGGCTTTGCACTGGTAGAGTTTTTGCTTGACAATTTTCTGTCGCACAATAAAGCTTCAGAACATATGTTGTGTGATGGCAAGTCAAACAGCTAGTAGTATACCTATGAAGCAAAAAATTGGGCAAAATGTTGTCCCAGTGTTGCTTCAAACATATAATAAATCCTAGTTCAAGCGTAGCGTAGTTAAGTGCAGTGCATTATCAGTCACTACAAAGAATTTTCTTATCCAGGTGTCATATGTGTCCACGTCAAGGATGGAATGTCTCAGGAAGTTCTTGATGAAGGTCTAAGAAGGTTTGAAAATGAAACATGAATTGCAGGGTCATCTTGGCCTGTTCCACTGACTTCTACATTTAAAACAAAGCTGGGAAGCTGTGAAAAGTTTTGATTAATATTTGCTTTTCTTGACTGTGGTCTATAAACTGTTCTTAAAAAGATGTTTTCCTCCATGGTATACATACACAGTGTGGAAGTGGGATGTACACACACATATGCTGAAACTCTTAATTCCAGTCTGTCAAAAGTTAAAAGGAAAGCATATGATATACATATGAGCATCTACAGGCACAAAAGCAACTGTTGGTGCAGTAAAATCGCATTAATTTGACCCTCCTTCGTTCGAAAAACCATATAATTAAGACGTATTCCCAGGTCCTGGCTTGCATATGCTTCGTTTAATGGCACCAAACTCTCGTTAGTTCTGTCACATTTGCTTGTAACTCGATTAATATGAATAATCTTCAAAGCGCTGCAAAGGTGAAACACAAAAGAGTGAAAGCGACACTTGTAGAGAGCCGAAATGAGGCAGTTTTGTCTGCACCGCTATCCTCATTTGTTAGTGCCCATGCATTAACAGATGAGGATATCCACATGCCGATTTTTTATCCACATGCGCATCTGGCTCTCAGTAGCTTCATTCTAACTTGATAAAATTTGCGTACGGTGTCAACCATGGCTGCAGCAGTTGGAAATGAAGAGCTTTTAGCCACTTATCGGTATTCTAGCATAAAACTTGTTCGGGCTACACAGATGAACTATCAGTTGCCGGCCATTTTATCTGCAAAAGAACTATTGTGAATTTGTGACATGTATGGAGGTGGCGGTACGTATAAAAGGAGGCATGCAAAACACGCGTCGAACTAAAAACTTTTGGGTCAGTCAGGTGTCATAGTCGCAATGACAATGAAATTGCAAAAGATGACAAAAATGGCTGCTTTCACACTGATTGTATGCAAAATAAGTGCAATATTTATATATTTGTCAAGAAAATGACAGTACATTGATGTAACAGATCTTTGTTTATTGTTTTCCTAATACTTTTGATAATTCGGTTTATTTGAGCATTTTTTTCCAGTCACTAGACATTTCGAATTAAGAACCTTTTTTCTTTATCCAATTTCGCATATGTTTGAATACTCACACCTAACGTTTGTAATAATAACATGCGAATAAGGACATCAACAAAAATTAATTCAACATTTTTGTGCGTTAGGTCACACCCATACCAGAGAAGGCTGGCTTTTGTTGGTTGTGAAGCAGCACCCACCTTGCAATTGCTGCTTTTTATGGATGTGCAATGTTGCATATCAAGGTCCCTCAACCTTGAGGCACCACATGACAACCTACCGCTTTCATTCCTGCATGGTCCGGACAAGGGCCCTTTACAAGATATGTTTTTTTTTCTCTTTCAAAATGCATTTGGATGTAAGCTGTTATGCGCAATTATGGCCCTAACTGTGGACTTCTAGCTGTGGATGAGCTTTGCAGAAACGAGACATTATCACTTCATTTACATTTTCTTTTTGTGGAAAGTGATTCATAGATGATGAGCTAACAGGCAGAAGATAAGCAAACATTATTACAGCATATTATACAGTATTTTGGCTTAAATATACAATGTCATTCAAATAAACTTTGGCTACCTTTAGCAAATTAACATTCATAAACCTTGAAAGAAAAGATCTTATACTTTTATATCAAGATGACACACATTTTTGTTTGCCTATACAGCTCACAAATTGTTAGCCTTTAGTTGGACTGCATTTTTCGTGGTGCCCAGAGTCCTCCTCACTCCAATCCCAAATGTAGTGGAATATCAGAAGAGGTGTTCTCTCTGCCCCTTATGATAATAATAATAATGGTGTAATAAATAATTGTGTGTATGCCTCAGAATACCACCCTCCCAGGACAGGGTGGTGCATGTCATGAAACTGAGAATGCAGTTAAAGATTTTGCTTCCTCATGTGTGAGTGCTTTGCTGCCTCTGATTTTGGTCTGAAAGCCATGGCATTCTCTTGCACCACCTGGCACAAAAGAAAGTAAGAGGTGGTGCCAGTGTAGTCTGTACCGAATACATTGTTCTAGGCTCAACTGTGTTTGAAGACTTATCTATGTCAGATTGGAAGCAATTGATTCAGATCATTGCTCATGATCAAATCATTGGCTGATGGTAATGGTAAATTACATGTCCAACTTTGCTGGACATCTATTTATACAGAGCCAGACTAGCGAGTAAATTATTTCATTAGTGAAGCTGTTTGAGCTGGTGGTTAGGCTATCGAGTGTGCACACAAATACATCGTCGAATGATGCATCAACATGGATCGTATAGCAATGCGTTGGAGGAAGGACGGGAGGAGGAGAACAAATAAAGCGAAACAAAATTTGGCAAGGCAGGATTTGAATTCAGGTAGCCACAGTCTGAAGATGAGCGCCATAACCACTTGGATATCTTGGCATGCTAACTCTTTCGTTACCACGCCTATTCAAATTGATGACCGGTGATAGACGCTTTTGGATTATCGATATTGGCATGTTAGATTTGTTTTTCGTGCACCCAGCATTCTTTAGCAGTTAGTCCTGCCACTCAACTTTCGGAATCTATTTGAATTTGCCCGTTTTGGCAACATAGTAATTTTTAACAGACCTTTGAGCGAACCAATGTGCGTGTATTGTTAGAAAAGTGCAGTTAGCTGGCAAACTTGACAGAGGTGCGGACAGAAGTGCGTGCACCTCGCGATTATGCAACAGTAACATCGAAATTTTGTAATGAAAAGAACCTTTGCAAGCTAAATATTCAATTGAATTGTCAGCTTCACAATTTCACAATGTTGAGCAGTAATTATTGCCAGAACTTTATGCCAGCTATTCAATAGAGATCTGTTCCTAGGAGTCGGAGAATATTTGTTCTACAAAAAATATTTACGAAGATCCGCCGAATGTTTAAAGTGTCGAGGCAGCCTTCTCTGACAGTTTCCAGCAGCTTTGGTTTTGCTTGCATGGTTATGTCAGACACAAAGTTTCATCTAGTGTCACTAGTCGTTCCTATGACGTCGTCGTCCCGCGCGCATGGGTACGCACCTGCACTGCAAAACACATGCACTGCTCGAAACTGTCTTGCAATCCCACCTGAATTAGGTGAGAGCGAGCTTGGAGTTCGAGGATGCCCGCACCTCAGCTTCAAGTTTTATGGCAACGATGTTCCGGGCCAGCCTGAGACATCCGCAGCCGTTCATGCGTTTGTTTTGTTTACATCCTCGAGTTGTCACCTCCGCCACAAGTGCGTATAGCTTCTGTCCATTGTGCACAATCTTAAAGCTACTCTGGTTACGTGCGAGGACCACACTTCGCTGGGGCGTGCTGGCACCAGCTGCAAACTTTCTCCTAAAGACAAGGAGGCCCCCAGAGCACATCTTGGCCCTGACTACAGAGCAGTGCGAAATTTTTTAGAACTGCATGCGATATTGTCTTTTTTTAATACGATATGCTCAAAAATGCAAAGAAATATGCTTGGATGCTTATATTGGAACGCCAACCTTTGCGAAGTGAGTTGGCTCATGGAAAAAGGTTACGCTAGATAAAATAGCGAAATTCTTTGGACATCTCGTTTATGCAGGGATCATTCACTTCACGGCCATCCATCTATAATGGAACACCTAAAGACTCTTACCGCCACACAACAAAAATTTGCTGAGAAAAGTGTATGAGTTCACTTGTGCCTCACGAAAAACCATGCAGTGCTTCACCGCATGGCACGAGCAATGAAGCAGCATCTTGGTTCTGATTTTTTTTTTTTTTTTTGTCGATGTGAAGAGAAACATTTTGTACAACATTCTTTTTTTTATACAGTTCCTCGGTCATTAATCTACAAAATGTATACTCTGAATTTTCCTTGTTTTGAATATTTTTGCATATATAGTGTTTTTTATTGCACTGTTTACTAGCTAACAACAAAAAATTACACACTTCTCACATTTTATTTTTTGTCGATGTGAAGAGAAACATTTTGTACAACATTCTTTTTTTTATACAGTTCCTGGGTCATTAGTCTACAAAATGTATACTCTGAATTTTCCTTGTTTTGAATATTTTTGCATATATAGTGTTTTTATAGCACTGTTTACTAGCTAACAACAAAAAATTACACACTTCTCACATTTTTATTCATTTTTAAATATTTTTGTTGCTCTACAACATATAATTTTTTGAAAGAGCATTTCATTATGCAAAGTTTAGTATGCTTCAATGCTCACTGGAGTACTTTACAAACTGGCAAAAACGATATTCCAGAGACATATGAAAAACAACTATTTTTGCACGATAACGAAAGAGTTAAATAGATGTAATTAACGCTTTGTATTCCAACATCAGCATATGTGGACAAAACATATTAGTGTAGTGGGTTTAGGCTAGCCAATGCATTGCCTTAAAAATGTATTTGAAATGTTGGCATTACTTCAGCATTTCATTACAACAGCGCTGCTTAGCTCAAACATTCAGGACCAACTACAAGTGATCATGCAAGCCGAAGATGCCAGTAGGGCCTAAGGACTCCTAGCTGCTACCTAGGGGAGAGGATGTCATTCTTCTAGAGTTTGCCATTTCGATTAAAGTTGTTTCTCTTTCTTTCTCTCTCTATATGTGTCCACTTCTATAAACAAACAGCAGTATGTTTGTATAGAACAATAGCGGTCTTCTCAAGTTACCTATACCAACTTGTTTTTAAATGCAAAGCATTTCTTTGCATACTGCTAGCACTTTTGGTGTCTGTCTGTATACCGACCAACCGATTGACCGATCGGTTGGTCGGTATACACGACTTGGGTTGATCACGACTGGATGCTCTCGTGATCAACCCCTTAACTTGGCATCAACCAAAATTGGTATGAGAGGGTAAGATGGTTTGATAAATATGGTGTGCTAGTCAAGACTTAAATGATATCACAATCCCGTCGCATACGTCATCAAACACTTCCCGTTAAACAGTGGCATTTACTCGCGGGCGGGTTGTGCCTCTGGTATGCGGGTATGTGCTACAGGTGATTGAAACTTTGTATCTACCCAGGAACGGCGAGAACACACATAGGTAATTTTTACGCGTTAGCGTCAAGAAAAAGCTGACATCTGCAGTGTTGACCCAATGAATGCATACAATAAATATCATGGTCTCAGCAGGGCTTGAATCCAAGCATTGTGTGGCAATCAAGTATTCTACCATGCCAGGTCTCGGAACTACTTTTCAAACAGACTGTAATGTTTGTGGAATGTCGATTGTGGTTGCAGTGCTAGCTATCCAATTTTATAAACATTACATATGTACTCCTATTATACAGCTGTCACGTCGGGCTAATGTCAATTGTAGTCAAGTGACATTTGCTGAACCTTATTTATGAAGCAGTGTCCAGGGCTACCATCTTCATGAGCACCAGCACTGATATCAGCTTATTGCTTCTGGTATTGCTAATACTCATGTTATGTTATATGTTATATTTATTTTTTATTATACAAAATACTGCTGGCCAGAGGCCAAAGCAGGAGGGGCAAGATAATACAGTTGTCATACATATTTCAAAACAACATCAATAATAAAAAGAGTAAAAAAGTGGAAAGCGTGACTTATTTATACAAAAACAGCAAAAGGAAAGAGTGGGGAGGGAAAAGAGGAAATAGTTAGAATAGTTAAAAAATCAACTTTAAATTTCAGCGTAAATAAGATCGGGAGAGCGTAAACTGCTTGCAGGGCAAATCGTTCCACTCTTCAATGGTACGAAGAAAGAAGGAAAATTTGAACAAGTTAGTACGAGCAAAATATGGTGTTAAAAGAAAGTGCGTGTGAATGCCGAGTCTGGCGTGTTCTTAGTGGTGTGAGGTAGGGGTCAGGGTTCAGAGCGAATTTGCGGTTAGAAAGTTGGTACAAAAATTTGAGACGTAAGAATCTGCGTCTCGACTGCAAAGATGTGACACCATTTGAAAGCATTACACTAGTTACAGAACTACCAGGCTTGTAAAGAGAATAAATGAAACGAACTGCCCTCCGCTGAATTTTTTCTAATGCATCAATGTTAGTTATAGTATAAGGATCCCAGGCAACGTATGCATATTCTAATTTAGGGAGAATCAAGGATGTTCCTCTAGGCATTGTTGCAGAAGTGCAAGCAACTGGTTATGTAAGCTTGCGCAACTGTTGAACATATATATCTATGCATGCAACATTTGTACATATATTTAGAGTCCTTTCATAATGTGTCGCTCAATAAAAAAATTACAACACCGTCACCTTCCCTCCGCATGCTTTGCATAATGTCGATTCCCAAAGTATATGGGATCTGCCAATTTTTTTTAATAAGTTCACTCTAAATTCATAAAAGCTTTTAAATGATTCAGCTTTATTCAAGAAACAGAAGGGTTCATCTTGTTGTTGTGTGAGGTTTGCGTAGGTCAGCACTTTAAGAGCCTACTCACTCAAACTCGCTACAATTTTTTCAGACTTCCAACTCGCTCACATTCATACTCACCCCTATAAGTGCTCACTCCCATTCACACGTGCATCCACATGACTACTTACACTCGTAGGCACTCGCTCACGTTCGTACTAACACCTACTCACACCCATAGGCACTCACATTCACACTCACGCTTATGAGTACTCACTTGCGTTCCTACTCACGCCTACCCACACTCGTAGGCACTCACTCACATTTATACTCATGCTTACCCCACTCGTAGGCACTCATGTTAACCCTCACATTCAAACTAGCACTCGTAGGCACTCGCTCACGTTCATACTCGCGTCCACTCACACTCATGACTACTCATTCACAATCACTTCTACTGACACTCATCAGTACTCACTCATACCCACACTCCCCACGTTCAAATGAGTGTGAGTGAACGTACTCATGAGTGAGTGTGCCGAGCTATGGAGTTTTGTTGAGCTGTGAGCGAGCCAAGTTTTGTAAGTCGAGTTGTCATTGCAGAATCCACATTTGTGGATGCTAAGCATACCGAGTTTATGTAAAAAGGTGATGAAACGCTGAATGGTGGTAGGACCCGCTTTATTTTCATGCAGCTCTGCACAAAACATTATCTGTAATATAGCTAGATCCATCTATTTGAGGTTATGTTTAGAATATATTTGCTATATTGGGCATGTGGGTTAAGTGATGACGTACATGCCATAATATTCTAGCTGTAAACATAACTGTGAATACATTGGTAGTGATGATCAAAGATAAAGATGATGACGGACATATTGAAGTAGAGCTGTGGGCAAGCAAACGGGCCTTGAATGGTGAAAATCGTAATGATGAAAGTGTTGAACTTGAGAATTAAGCCATTGATGATGCTGATAATGAACAATGATGATGAATATCTTGAATCAGTTATTAGCAAGCAATCACGTATACATTGATGATGACAATAAAATAACGATGAATGCATTGAACTGATCATCAAGGCATTGATTATGATCTTTAGTGATGATCATGATTAATATGTAGAAACAGAGTTGTCGCCTGGCAAAGTTCCCGCATACAATGAAGGATGACGGACCTATTGCATTCGATTTTCCCAGCGTCCACATATGTGGACACATTTTCTTTTTGAACTAAAGCTGAGTTTTTCAGGTTTTCTGCTTATTCCCATTTTTGTTTGTAGTGCTATTACACATGTGCAAAACATATTTACTTGTGCGACTGCGTTGGTTGTGGAAAACAGGGTTAAAGAGAGAAAGAAAAAGTATGAAACTGAGATAGAGGAAGAAAGCATGACATAGTGATTTATGCTACAGCATAGCAAAATGGAGGGGAATGAGGAGGAGGAAGGGCAAGCCTGCTGTTTCCACAGTCTTTGCACCTATAGTTGCTCCCATCTCCCCCCCCCCCCCCACCTCCATAAACTGATCATAACGTGTGAAGAACTGGCTGTCAAAAGTTGTTTCACTGCTCCCATATCTTGTAAGCCTAGCAGAAAGGCAGACAGCAAGGCCCACGAAATAATTATATTGGCTTGAGGGCACTTGGCATACAAAAGTTTGTGCATGTTACTTGCCGATGTATACCTATCCGTGTTAGTTATAATGTAATACATAGGAATGGCAACAATACCATTCAACCTGAATTAAAAAACACATCCATAGCTAAGCCAATAAACAGACCCCTATTGTTAATTTTCAAGCAAAATCTTTCTTTGTTTTTCACTCCAATTCATTATTATGGACCGCTGAATTCTTGGTAGTTTAGGCTGGGAACTCACTGATGAGAACAATATGCAATTTAGCTATGTTTTTCACCATGAATTTTATGGACATTATTGGTGTAACTTAAGAACAAAGGACAAATATTCATTGTTAAAATGATATGTAATCAACATACTTTGATAAAAGGTGAAAAAGAAAAAAGAGCCAAATGTCCCACCACAATATCTTTTTTTTTTTAATTTAAAAGTTTACATTGTTGTATGTGAGAAGTTGCTGGCAGTGATTAAATTTTTTAAAAGCAGCTACTCTGTTGGACATGAGTCGTCCCAGCGGTAATTATTTATACAGTGCTTACCCTTTGATATACGCAAGTGCAGTGAAATACTGTTACAAGCTGTGACGAACGAGAAGGAATGCTCCATCGAGGCGATGAAGACGACGACTGCAATAAGGCTCGCGTTGTTGGTGGTGGTGTTCCACCATCTTGGCTGAAGAACTCCCAGTGTAGATTCTGTAAATACATTTCTTTATTTATTTCGGATATTCTTACTCTCATCACAATATGTTCTACTAGCTTTATGAGAAGAACCCTGCTTTTTTTTTGCCTCTGAGGATCCGAACCAAAGCCTCCATTTTTATTTAAATATTAAAATTGCTTTTGATAATTTGCATTTGTGCTGGACAAACTACCTTCGAGTCCAAAATGACTTGTTTCCATGAGATGTAGCCCCTTCAAAAATAATGTGTTCCTTGTGTGTGTTGCACTATAGCCAGATAAAACCTCAGAATCCTGCAACATTTCCACCTCAAAAGCAGATGTATACAAACCTGCCCCCAATCGGTGCGCACTCTGGACTCGCGTCATGAGCCAAAGCCGTAATGGCCGGGCGACCTTTAGAGAACATTGTCAAGTGCACGAGCGGGTCTATTTTTTTAGTCTAGGAGGTGATCGGCTGGTGTGCTTCAATCATCTAGCCTCTCCAGAACACTCGAGTTGTATCAGACTATAGTTGTGCAAGCACACCATTGAAAAGAGTGTTTTTCCGGCTACAGTGTGGAGAAGATGGCGACACCCAATTCGCTCGTGTACTGTTTTGCATAACGTTTATTCTTTCTTTATCTCTCTCAAGTTGCAGATTGCATGGTTATAATTGACTGCATTTCTTTACTCAGTCCCGACTAGCTTAGCCGAGAAATTTTTGTTTCCACGTTAAACCCAGTTCCCTCTATTTAAAGTTAGTACTTGTCAAAAACTACAAGTAATACTCTATTCCGAAACTGTTATAAGCAAATGGTATGCCAACACACATCTACATAACAACACACTACATACACCAGGGACGCACGACCCACGGCTTAAGGAGCTTTGCCCCTAAAAGAAGTGCTTGCTATCATACACAAAATGGTTCACTCATATTCAGTAGCAGCAGGCAAGCAGTCGCACCTTATCTACAACTGTCACCACTTTTTTCTTCCTAATGTACTAGATTAACACATGGTGGAATTTCAGGATCAAAGGAGCCATAACCACATTTATTATTCAGGCGAAAATAAACTATGCATAATCTTTGTAACAGTGGCACATATAGCACTTTTCTGCTTATAACGTATGTCGATTGTGCACCTACAAAGTCGCAATGGCTCCTCTTTGCTATCCTCTGAGTACAAAAAAGGCTTGTAGAATACTGGGGACTTGAAGTAAAATCGCAAAGGCAACGGAGAAGCATAAAACTCATTTTCTTTTACATCTCTACACTCTGCTTGTTTATGGAAGCTCTTATTCAATACTCTTGCTGATAGTTTTGAAAGATATGGTGGAGCGATCATTCAAAGTTACTTGTCAATCACTCAAACTCTCACGGGATTTTTTTTTCGAGGCGTAACCGAGATGGCATGATGCATGAGCAAATGCTCCCTAAGCATAGACAGCTTAAAGAATTTGGTGCCACAGTAAACACAGGCATGCCGTGCTTTCATTAGCTTGAGAAAGCCCTTGTGGCGCATGCGCACGTGTTCATCAATTTGGTAGCCGTGCTGGAACTTCATGCCACATAGAGCACACAGGTAGTTGAGCGGTGTGTGCCCACCGGAGCGACTCTTCGTGGACAGGGCAGACTTTCGCTTTGGCTGATGGGCAGGCAAGTCGCCAGCGATTTTCTGCAATTCTTTTATGAGGTCATCGAGTTCAAAAGACGTCACTGTATCGTCGCGTTCGCAAAGCGGCTTGCCTACGATCCCAGCAAATAGCGGATAGAAGTCTCCATCTTCCCAGACATCGTGCTGCTGGATATGCGCAATGAGCAGATCGGCTGACGCGTAGCGCATGGCGCAGAAAGCGCAGGCAAACCGTAGCAACTTGACGTCTTCCGCAGCAGTATGACTGGCGTCCAGATGTTGTCGTAGGGCCAAATGTGACGCAAACCGCAAAGGGCAGAGGAAGCACTGTAGACCAAAGTTCTCCGTGCTCTGAAGAATGCTACACGGCTTCACAGCTGGATCCGGCACGCGCAGGTCGCTCGGTGCGTGGCTCCAAGTGTGCACGCAGAGCAGAACATAGTGGCTGAAGACGGCCTCACAGGTGGGACACTTGAACCGGCACTTGCAATGCTCCGGGACGCGTCTTCGAGGGGTTAACGCAGGGAACGTCTTCGGCGGAAGTAGAAATCGCACAGTCTTGCCGCTGGCCATTGTAGGCACACTGGAAAGACGTTGAAACACTTCACGATTAGAACTTTCCGACGTATTTGCACAGTTCGAAATGACACGCTTCAGACAAGTCGCCCAACTAAAGGTTCAAACGCACCGTCAAAATGTTGCTGCAGTTTAAATTTAAAACTGTCAAAACCGTCCGTCGACGCTTTAAAAATTAACGGATAGGGAGTGCCAGACAAACCTGCGTCGCTAACGTTCTTTGGGTTTCGACTGAAGTTATCGCTATTTAAATTTAACCCCTGCAAACCGCCGTTGAAACGCTTTGGCCACGCATAGAGGAGAGTACAGTGTACTAGAATAGGGGCAGTGTGCTCACAGGCGGCGGTGGGTGACTCACTTCATGTCGACGCCGAGAGGCGGCGCTGTTCGCAGCGTCATAGTTCAGGATGATGGCGCAGAGTTTTTCAAAGCACTGGGGTTTAGGGACCGGGAGGGCAAAATATACTTTAAGCAAGTAGACTTAACTAGAAGGAGGTTATCTGATTGGTGGCTAAAGTCAAGGCACGAGTGAAAATTAAACTCTTCACTGCAAAGTACGAATCCTCAAACTCACTTTTTAAGGGAAAAAAAAATATAGTGTTGGGTTCATTAAGTATTACGGCTTGGTAGCGCTAGCCACCGCCCGATCTAAAGGGTACAGCCATATGCATCCTGAAACTCCTTTGCGCGCCAAAGTAGAGAGCCACAGCGCAATTGTTGAAATGCCAGAAATTATGCAACGCTCGCGACATGCAATGAACGACACTTCTTTTGGGGCATCTTATCAGTGTGCAGGGCGTAAAGCAACTGACATCGTATTATTTTCCTGCCGTTTAAATGCTCAAAGTGGTTTCGCTAATGCAGCGGTCATGTCGACTGCGGTTCCGAGGTGCGAAAAACACTACGCACTTTTTTTTTTCGCAATGTCAGAATTAAAATTTTGGAGTTTAAGGGGCCGAAGCCACACTTCCGCTATGAGGTGCGCCATAGCGGAGGGCGGCAGGTTAATTTAGGTCCCTTTAGAATTTTTAACGTCAGCCGAAATGCCGACACACGGCTTGTTTCGTTTTTCTCCTCCGTCAGGAGAACAGCCACCGCGGCTAGGATCGAACACAAGTCTCTGGGTTCAACAGTACAACGCCTTAAACAGCCTACACGCCGGGTTTTTTCTTGATTACGTGCCTGCTGCAGGAATGCGCGCCCTAAACCCAAACTTTAACCACCATGACAACCACGCACGACGTTTAACATTCTAACATCGCTGCTTCGAGACTTTAGGTGATTGGTGTGTGGCGTGATTCTTGCTGTAAACAAGACGTAGCATCATTATTATCAACAGCCTGTTAGGTCCTGCAGGACGGAGACCTCTTTCATTGCTTTACACCCGCTCCTGTCCTTCACTGCCAGAGTCCATTCCATTCATTGCCTCTGAATTTTCATATTTCGTGTATCCATCAAGTTAATGACGTAGCAAATTAAAAAGAAATGATAAAAATCCATGTAAATTGATGAAATAATGTTTATTCACAAATAAGTGATGAAAGAATTTGCACAAGAAATATTAGGGTAAAAAAAAGGCTGAATAATGGCAAATCGAGACATTTACACATTGATATGCACCATGCCGGTTTGCATGGTGCATCAGCCGCCCCCTCACAAACACCTTGCAGTAGCCATCGGGCGGTTTATCGCAGAGGAACAACACAACTTTTTCGGACGTGACAACGCCTTCTTCAAGGTAAGTCGACGAGCAATACATCACTCCGTTAAGGTCAGGATGGTGATGCATACTCCAGTACTTGGAAGGAGTCTTTAAACAATAACAAAACGACAAGCAATGCTCGGGCTCCGCTGGAACGTCATCGTGTGTCAAGTCGCAGTCCTCCCGTGAATCACCAACAGCAGCCCGCGGAAATTCAGTGCAGTCAGTCTCGAGAGCACTTCGGCTCTTTTTCTTTGCGGCTGCATGGTCATTTTCGCACATCTTCCTTTTAGCTCTCGGTTTTGGCATCTTCTTCATGAGGTACTGCGGCAAATTTGGAAGAATCGTGGGGACGGCGTTTTCCGACAGCATCGGTTTATCACGAGGAATGCGTACCCCTTTGCCATATATATGGTGCACGAACTCCTTGATAACGAACCTCGGTTCGAAATGCAGTTCGCAGACCGCAGAAAACTCATCTAGTTTCTTATCTGCACGGTGGAGATTTCTTTCCCACTCCTTCCGCCGTTCTTCATCACGCGGGACGCTGAACAAAGACGCCTGTGGTGCATCCTGCACACGACTGTACCCAGTACCCAGTTCGACAACCGGGCGCAAGACAGTAATTTCGACGGCGGATAGGCATCTTCACAAACACATACTACACAATGATCCAAGCATAAAGCACAGAACACGCACACGGGGTACCCACGTTGATCCAATCGAACTGAACTGAGCGAACCAGCCCCGTCCGCCAACACGGCCAACACGAACCAAGAGAAGTTTTTCAGGTGCGTCAAGCGTCAGCGCCCCTGGTGGGCATCGTAGAAGTCGACACAGAGTACGCTACGGCGGAGCGCCGCAAGGATAGGGCAGTGAGCACACTGTCCCTATTCTAGTACACTGTAGAGGAGAGAAAAAGCTGAGAAGAGCACGGAGGAAGGAAAAACAGAACCTTCTTCCTTCCTCCGTGGAGGCTCTGATGTCAGCCGCCGGAAGTTTACTTCCGCGCCATGAAGGTAGCCCTCCATGAGGCAGCCCCAGGCATGATCCTAGGCCACATAGGCCCTGGCACTCTGGAAGCGTTGCTCTGGCTTACCCTGGTAGCCCTTTGTGAAAAGCTACACACGCGGTTACACTATGTTCCATAGTTACACCTTGGGTAGCAGAGATGTGTACCGTGTGTGTACTAATACAATCAACATCGAAACCGAAAGTGAAGGCAATTTTTTTTCACTTTTTTATTGATAAGTGTTCATGACAATCTCCGAGGTGTTTTTTTTATTATTATGATTATGTTAGTTGTGTCCTCGGAAGCATAGAGTTTCTGAAAATTAACTAGAGGGCACTCTGGCGCTGCGATCGTTCAGCGACCATGGGAATGATGGGTAGTACCAGAGTCCTTCAATGCTTTTCTGGTCACGAAACTTCGTAACGCTATGGGAGAGCTTCATATGGGGATCAAAGCTCCCGCGCGGTGGCGCTACGAGTCTGGTGAAGGCGGCTTGGACGGCGGCGGCCGCATTTGCAGCGTTTGCAGTGCGTTGGAGCGCGAGCTTACTGGTTTGTTTGTTGTGTGGTATAGCTGTCTACACTCATCACGGACGGCAAACTATGTGAACTACCATGCCTCTGACGTGCTGCGTACCTGGTTGCCGCCCTGGCTATCGGAGTTGTACAGAAAAAGCTTCGCTGTTCTGCCTCCCAAGCGACCGCGAACAACGCGACAGGTGGTTGTGTGACGTTGTTTATTTCCTTTATCCGCCATGCTATTGCCGTAAACTTGTATGAATAAACACTTGCACCACAGCCGCGGCGCGTTTTCTAGTCATTTGCATGCGCTTGGCAGCTGCCTGCGACGATCAGCAAGTGGCCAGTCAGGTTACTGTCATCTGTGTGGCGGAACCAAAATCCACGGCGGCGACATTTTGATTATCCAATCAGGTATTTTGAATTTGCAAAGCGGAGCATGGCTAGCTTTGCCTGTATTTCTTTTTAAATTTGTTTTAGTGTCCCCGCCGCGGTGGCTCAGGGGCTAGGGCGCTGTGCTGATGATGATGAGCCCAAGGACGCGGGTTCCCAGCCGCTTTTCTGATGGAGGCGAAAAGAGAAAATGCCTGTGTTTTAGAGATTCCCGCGCATGTTAATGATACCTGGGTGGTTAAAATTATTCCGGAGAGCTACACCAGAGTCCTTCAATGCTTGAAGGACTCTGGCTACACTACGGCGCGCGCCCGATTGCCTGCATAGCGTCAGCGCGTTAAACCTCATAACCAAGTAATCAATTAACCTGTCGTTTTGGTGGGACGAGTGTGTCAGACACTGACCATACGAGTTTTTCTGTTGACACCCTATACCTATGTTGACAGCCGGGAAAGTCGCTCAAGTGTGTAGCATTTACTCCTACGCGCGCTCATTATGCTGCTTCCATTTCGTGAGCGTTTTTCTTCATTATGTTGATGCTCACTTTCCAAACCTAGGTTATTTTTGTACATTATTAGCGCGCTATAAAATCGCGCAGACACAGCGCTAACCCAACGTGCTGTACGTTTGCACACCTATTTGCTAAGCGCAGCATGTCGCCCAGGGCTGTATATACCGATTTAAATCTGGTGCTAGTTAACTCAAATGCAGGAAACTGCAAAGACTACTCAAAAATCGAAAACGCCAGATGTCCTCCTTCTCAAAGCGAGAACGTAGCGGCCGTGACTACCGCAACGAACGAACGCTGCAACATATACGACTCAGTAACACGCGTGGCCTTGCCTCTATTTCACAGCTAAGCTAAGCGTCAACTGAATCAAAAACACGCACACTTCGCTCGCGTCGCTCGCGTTTTTACAGGTCGCGTTTTTACAGGTGGAAACGAAGAGCAGATGAAATTAGGCGCATTGCCGACGGAGAAACAGCCGGCCCGCAAGCGTCGCCGGCCGCCGGCGAAGCCTTCACGCTAACAGGGGCGATCCTAGCGGCAGCTTTTGTCCCTGAATGAAACTTCGGCCGGAGTTTCGTGACCAGAAAAGCATTGAAGGACTCTGGTAGTACCAACGCCCCCTCTAAACAATGCCTGGGGATTCCCGCGTTGGTAGTACACACATTTGCCTAGTCTTCGTACTTGCGGGCGGCGAATCATACTTGCGGCTTTGTTTATTGCTGTGTTTTGGTTTTGTTTTGAAAGAAAAAACAAATTCTTTTAAACTTAGGGACTTGATTCAAAATATTAAGCTTAAAAAAATAAGGTTGTGAAGCACAAACGGTGAACATTTGCTAATTTATGTTGTCGTGAAAAAACAGCTCCAAGCCACACGAACACACACGGAGCCAGAAGCAGGCCAGAAGTACGAAAATTAGACAAATGTGTGTACTACCCATCATTCCCACGCTCGCTGAAGCGCCGTGCTATGGTGGCTAGAATTGGGAGGTGACGCCAACGGGAGCTCGGAGCCGCTCCTTCGTTTCGAGCAGCGCGGCGGTGGCGCTGTCGGCGGAATGGTGATGCTAGTTACGCGCGCGCGCCTTGAGTATGGTGGCTAGAATTGGGAGGTGACGCCAACGGGAGCTCGGAGCCGCTCCTTCGTTTCGAGCAGCGCGGCGGTGGCGCTGTCGGCGGAATGGTGATGCTAG